ACAAAATCTTAACCCTTTTTCGAAAAATGCCTGGAAATGTCCCCGATCCCAAGGGAATAGCCCATGGAGCTCCCCAAAGCGTGGGAAACTTATAAATGACGGGTTTTAGTTGCAAAACATTGGAAAAACACAAAAAAACCAKAACCCGTCAAGCAAATGAGAGCGAGGAACGCCTGCTGATTTTCATCCCTTTTACACCAACGGATTAAGCTCAAAATTAAACATTTTGAGCTGGTGTAAAATCCATGATTTTTACCAGGCGTTCCTCGAACTCCTATCAAAGGGTAACACCCCATTTTCACTACTAAAACAACTTAAATGATTTATGTGTGTTTTTATTGGTACTTTTTTAATCCCTARGGAATAAAAAGTGGCTCAAATAGCATTATTTTGACTAGTTTTCTACGTACTTTTAATTTAGAAAAAAAATGGCTAAAAAATCCTATATATGGATGAGCGAGGAACGCCTGGTGATTTTCATCACTTTTACACCAACGGATTAAGCTCCATTTTAAACATTTTGAGATGGTTTAAAATCCATGATTTTCACTAGATGTTCCTCGAACTCCTATTAATAGGTAACACCCCATTTTCACTAGTAAAACAAATTAAATGATTTATATGTTTCTTTATATGTCTCTCGGGATCGAACGGTGTTATATAATTGGAACTTATTAGATTTATACCAATGATTGCGTCCACTGACGTGTTTGAAGGGACCGAGGTGATTAGTGAAACCCTTTTCCCTATACATAAACACGAGAATGTAAATATAAATGTATTGCTGTCATTAGATTTTGGACGGTATTTGTTACATTTAGAGGCTCTTTGATCGTAGAAACCACTTTTGCAGAAAATTCTTGATCTGTCCCTGTTCTTAATTAGATCAGCCCAGAGGTTGTTTCAAGTTCGGTAGGTGAGCTAGCCTTGCCTTGACTTAGATCAGGTCAGAGGTTGTTTCATAGTCTTGATAAAAAAACAAGGTCAATAATATCATTTAAAAGTACCTACCTCCCTCGCAGCCGAATAGCGTAACTCTCATACATGTTGTTGTTTCTGTCGTTTCTGGGAGTAAGCGAAGATAACGGGTCGTAATGGACTTATTTAACCAGTAGATCTCGTTTCCAAGCAATGTATAGGGAATCTAATGGAGGATGAAATAATCAAAGTAATAGTCATGGTCGTGTGTCATAACCTTTGGTAAGGAAGGAGGAATACTCCAGTTTCGAGTTCTCCTGTTGCTCAGTCTCAGCCTCGATTTTGTGTAAACTATTCTTGTTCTCCAGTGAGTGTCTGTGGATGTATTGTTGAAGCTGTGGATTCTCTACTTTACCGTTAGTATTTGTGAATATTTAGACTCTGATAGAGGGCTAACCCTGAGTAAACGAGTCTGCAATCAAGAAACTCATCTCCCTACCTTAGACTCATTGCCTTTTAGTATCAATGTATTCCAGGTTCTTCTATCGATGCTGTATTGGATCGTGTAGTGCTGCACTTCAACTGCGTTGGAATGGGTCAGCGGTTCGTTACGAAGCGCTCCAATAGTCGTGACGTCATTCAAGTCAATATCAAAGTAGAAGGCATAAGGGTCCAGTTCATCAGTACACCACAATCCTAACGAGAAGAATTTTTTAGAACAGTTGCCTTTTTAAGTATTTCCTCAAAGATGTATACATCATACCAGTTCTGTTGAAATCCACGGGTTTGACTTTGTTCTTTATCAATATCTGCTGATCAGTATCTGGTTTCTCTAAAAATCAAAAAAGAAAAAATCTTAAATTGTATCCCGTGACGACACTACCTTGCAGAAACCAAACATATTGTTAAAATGGTTGGCACATCAACATCACAATGGCAATGCTTATAAACATTACGCCTAGCTAAGTGCCTCCTGTCATGGCTGCCATCACGTGATGGTGCAAAGCCTCTATAGCATCTGTTGCAATAATGTTTTCATCCCCAAGATGTTTGAATTGTTATAAACATATCAGCAATCCTACTTGATTTTATATTCATCATATGAATTACCAAATTAAAGGAACGACATCCAAATGGAACCTTCTCAAAACCATCTCGACACAAGGCAAACATTAAATACGAAACAAATGCCACAAGAAAAAGTATAATTAAAAAAACATTTTTGAGAAGGGTAGGGTCCATTTATTTTTAAAAACTCACCACTCAAATGTTTGACGTCGAATTTGACCGTACTCTTGCATCCATCCATCTCAGTTTCTACGTAGTAGCTACCATACTGATGTTCTCTGACGTCACTAATGACTAATGACGTCACAATGTGATCTCCTCGCGGCACCCTTCGAAATCCCATATTTGGGTCGTCTGGTAAACTGGATATCTCCATGGCGTCGAACCTCCACGTAACCTTCTGTAATTGGTCGTTTTCGATGATGAGGCTGACGTCATCACCTGGTAGAGTGTACTGTGTTGTGGGACTAACGCTCTTTAGGAATGGCTGATCTGAAGAGGAAAGGTTGCTATAGATAGGAAATCTTATTTTTCTTTTTTAGTCAAATCGATATGAGACAATAGAAGCTCTGACAAACGGGCTCAGCATTTTGACCCAACAAATGTTGGCTAAATGTTGGGTCAAATGTTGTGTCAAATGTTGTGTCAAATGTTGGGTCAAATGTTGGGTCAAATGTTGGGTCAAATGTTGTGTCAAATGTTGGGTCAAATGTTGGGTCAAATGTTGTGTCAAATGTTGTGTCAAATGTTGTGTCAAATGTTGTGTCAAATGTTGTGTCAAATGTTGGGTCAAATGTTGGGTCAAATGTTGGGTCAAATGTTGGGTCAAATGTTGGGTCAAATGTTGGGTCAAATGTTGTGTCCAATGTTGGGTCAAATGTTGTGTCCAATGTTGTGTCAAATGTTGGGTCAAATGTTGGGTCAAATGTTGGGTCAAATGTTGGGTCAAATGTTGGTCAAATGTTGGGTCAAATGTTGGCCCAGGACGGTTTTTCAGGGCCTTGACTTACCTTTCAATGTGACGTGTGCTATTGCTTTTGGTTTTCCTGAGTAACTCCTTCCTTCGAYACTAACCCACAGGTCCTCAGTAACCGTTTTGATTGACAGCCCTTTGGCATCAGCACTGAGCTCAAAACGAGTATTCTGAGGCAAGATCTCTGTGTTAATACTCATCCTTGACAAGCCGTACTTCCATTTGATTGTATCCTCGAGGACCTGGAAATAACCCCTTACTTCAACACGTAACTTGCCTTTTCCATTCGCACAGACTTTTAAAACGCTTGGCTTGAGTGAAAATGAAGTCGGTTCTTTGACATCGATTTCGAAGTTGACCTTGTACGTTCCCTGATCAACAGCAGGGTCCGCTTCGGCAAACTTGTACGTTAGCTGGTAAAGTCCACTATATTCCTTTCGAACATTTTTCACTACCAGTTCGCTCAGTTTCTCCGGAGGCCTTCTGGTAATCAATGAAAAATTATCCAGATAACTAGTAACTCGATTGTCGTTGCTCTCTATGATCAAACCGCTGACCAGATGAATACCGAAGGCAGCGAATTTGATACGCTCTTCTTTCCTTCCTCGAACTAGTTCTATCTTAATGCCATCGAAGTTGGACTCCACGACAAAGGGATTTCCGTAGGTATTGAAAAACAGAAACCACACTTGCCTTACAGTACACTGTTTAAATTTACACTCTACGAGTTCTAAATTTTGATCCGGGACTTTCTTGATTTTGTTTACATCAGTGCCAGGCTTGGCTACATAGCAATGAGGTGTCGCCTTGGTAACCACGTGAGGGGCACCCATCTCTTGAGTTCTGATTGACAGTTTCACCCTACAAACATTGTCTTGCCAGCCAATGCCTTGTCGACACAAGACTCGATTTTTGTTTGTGATTTTCGTAGTCTCAATATTTCTTCCCAGGTAAACCGGGAATTTTCTTCCTGGATAAAGTTTGAATGATCCGTCACCATTGCCATACATACACGAGGAGCATTCCGGGACGTCACAGTAGTGCACCTTAAACTCACCCTCGTTAGGATCGTCGTCCGAGTAGCACCAAGGCTGTGTTAGTACGTTTTCCTTGCACGATGGGTCTTCTCCCTTCTTCAAGTAACATGTTGGGTTCCATGGGATGTTGCGGCAATAGTCGTGACCACCTGGAACAATAGGATAGTGTGACTAACGCACGCAGTTATTGATAGTCTGGCGTGACAAAAAAATTGGCAAAATGAAATATTTTACTAACTTATTTTACAAACAACACATGTGAAAAAGTATTAATTAAAGTATTATTCAAACTGTTTAGTAGAAAATAAAACATTTTACACTAGTATTGTGAAAATATATCCCGCCTTATGATTGGCTGGTACACTTAGTAGCGCTTGCTTTAGATTTACTTTATATTTTGTCATTCGTATCCAACGCTTATTCTATGACGTGTATCTTATGCTATGCTTACTCTTTCTCCCTACACCTAAATTCTCTCGTTTGCTGCAAACAATTTTCATAACTGCTTCTGCTAGTATTCATCATCCGTCATAATCATTAGTCATCAACATTATCAGCATCCTCATGTAATATCACTATTATACCTCACCCGTCCATCCTGGTGTCCTCTACTAAGCCATTGCGTTCCTTACCTTTATCAAAGATTCCCATCAAGCGAGCTATAACAGATCTTCAACAACTTGCTGCGAATGTTTGGACTCGATTTACAATCTCAACATCTTGCTCTACCCCCACCCGTTCATCCGTCTCCTATAAGCCATTACTTTCTTTACCTTTATCAAAGATTCCCATCAAGCGAGTTATAACAGATCTTCAACTTGCTGCGAATGTTTGGACTCGATTTACAATCTTAATATCTCGCTCTCCCCCCACCCGTTCATCCGTCTTTACTTTCTTTACCTTTATCAAAGATCCCCATCAAGCGAGCTATAACAGGAGATCTTTTATGTGGACCAGTACCCATGTGCCAGTATTTACACTTGTTGTGTTTTGCCATATTCACGCTGCCCGTGTACTCCATTCCCTTGTCATAATAACAGTCCTTCTTATACGTCCATTGATACCACAAGCAGTTCGTTTCAAGACTCGTTGACCCGAAATCGCAAACACGTGGATCGGTTGGGTAACCCATAGGCGAGTGAAGCCTGGTGATAGCCCATATAATCTGCATCCGGGGATGGAGACCAATGAGAGCTTCACATGATACTGCTAAGACATCATTTAGTAGATCAAATCCTCCTTCACCGATAGTTAGGTGGGACTGTGACTCGGGGATCCTTTTGCTACCAGTTCCTAAGACGTACGATTCTGTGAAGCCTTCCATCGTTGCTTTATTGATAACAGTCCATCGATAGTTAGTGAAGCCAGGCACACTACAATCCAAGGTTCCATTGTCTTGACGCCCGATGTATTCTACATGACGTATAACCACTACCACAGGCGACCATTCCGACTTAATCACTTCAATCTCTTTATCCCACAGGAATCCATTGACTGACGCTAACACCAACAAAAGCTGAATTGCAACCTTTTGCATAGAAAATATGCACCTCCACACCTTATAAAAGGCTTGTCTAGCTTTAACTAAGCCTTCATCTGTCGTTTTTTAGAGCACTGTTTGTTTTTTAGTCTTCAATAAAGCCATTCTTGCGATTTTACGACTCATTTGAGTTCCAAGGCTAGGTTACCTGGGCGGGAAATTTAACTATGACGTTGCGCTGCGCGCGCATTATGACGTGTATAATAGATGTCCATCATCCCTCGCGCGAAGCATTGATTTGACTACGGAAAAATCAAGACATTTTTATTGTAAAACTACAAGAAAAAATGACGAATGGCTACAATTTTAAAAATTCTTTTAGTTCTACAGATTAATAGGTTTTTCTGAACCCCAGTGAAAATTTGAAACACCAACTTGATTCCTGTGATAAAACACACTTCAGGTGGAGAGATTGGGTAATCTAACTTTAGGGGCAAAGATAACGTAGAAATCATGTGAATTCCTGAACACCATTAATATACAGGCATTTAGCCCGATTAGACATACAAATGCAATGCTACGTAATTCCCTTAAATTATCATATCTTTCATGACTCGTAAGGATTAATGATAGATGCATTCTATTGTATAGACCCCTTGCATGTGACGTAAAAGCAGCGCAATTTCGAGGGGAAAACAAAATATTTTTGTTCTCCTGAGAATCGGAAGCCTATGTTTATATCCTYCAAATTGAGCTGCATTTCGACGTCCTGCAAGGGGTCTATATACACTCTTTAGACTGATAACATTAGACATTTTACCCGGTGCCCCTTAAACAAATTTACCAGCATTTCTTAACAATTTTGAATGGCAAGTTTCGGTGGGAATCTGCTTGCGCGTGGCCTTTACTGAAAATAAGATTATTTCAGATAAGTGATTCCAATGAGTCTAGTATATATAGAGGATATTACATGGGCGCGCGGAGATACGAAATTTATCTTCGAGTGTTGAAAAGATCTCTCACAAGTGAGCGCAGCGAACGAGTCAGAGATTTTCAACACGAGAAGATAAATTTCGTATCTCCGCGCGCCCATGTAATATTCTGTTTATTATATAATTATCAAAGAAAGTATGTTTTGGCTTTTTCAGGCAATTCTTTCCGTGTATTTTTGAATAGCCATCGCAATGGTGTTATTTTCACACGTGAAGATATCAATTTTTCGAAATAGAGAAAAATAGATATTTCATAGGTAATTATATAATAAATCCAGATAATAAAGTTTAAATAGGTTTTTCTAAAATATTTGAGATAGCTGATTGGCTAGCTACCGTGTTTATATTATGTCATAAACGTTATACAAGATGTTTTATTCCGGCGTTGATTTCGAGCTAAGGTCAAAACAATTATCCAAAATAGGGATCCGATTTAATCGGTTAAGGTGGTGGTGGGTATCGGTAAATATTCCTTCGGCTCCCCCCC